AGAGAGAGAGAGAGAGAGAGAGAGAGAGAGAGAGAGAGAGAGAGAGAGAGAGAGAGAGAGAGAGGTCTGGACTTCACGGCTTCCACCAAGGATGTAAGCGAGGTAGAAATCACATGCAAATGGAGACAGAAAAACAAGAGCCACAATTGAAAAACAACCAGACCTAGAGCACAGAATGGCGGCCTCGCTCCACACCACTTGAAATGTAAGGATTTTAGGGGAAGCATCGTTCCACCACTGCAAGGAAAATGAGCAGTAGCGAGATGACAATAACCAGATTGCACAATCACATTGAAGGCCAGATAGTATCACAGTGTCCACAAAGCAGAAATGCACCAATACAACACCAATGAAGATTCGTAACACTGAAAACCAATGTCAATGAGCGCTTGCTCTCACCACCACCAAGTGTCCAGGCCCTATCTCCCTACTTGGCGCCCGGCGCCCAGCCTACTTCCTACACAGTTACTCTCCGCCTACTAATTGACAATGCAACTGTTGACATCAGCAGCCTACGAAGTACTTGAAGATGTCACCCATGCAGACCATCGCCAATACCAGGTATGTGCCCTCACATCATCATCATCACCATCCTTCTCTCTCTCTCCCCTGTATTAAGCCCACATCTTCCCTCTGTACACCCAAAGACCACCCTGCGCCTCACTGTAGTCCAAGTCCAACCAGCTATGGAAGTTGGGCTATGGCGCTGCCCTCAGCAGCGCCCTGCTCTCTGCACGACCGCATGCGCTAGCACCTCGCCTCTCAGCGCCAGCAGCAGCCCACGAGCATCCGCTCCAGCAGCGCTGCCACTATCATGCGAGTGCCTGAATGAGAGCCCAGGCAGCGAGCTCTTCCCTATATGGAAAGAGCCTGCCTGCTACGGCGGCCTGGCTGGCCTGGGCCTCTCTCAGAAGCTTCCGGTAGGCCCAAGGAGGCTGCGCCTCTGTCGCAGCTACTGGGCCTTGTTCGGTTGGGCCTCTCCAACTGTCTGTGTATGAGGCTGCGATTCCTGCCCAGGGCCTGCATTTCCCGTATAGGCCAGGAGGGCAGTGGAATTTCCTTGCTGCTCGGCCTGTGTTTTCCCCAACCAACTGGCGTATCGCAACTGTCTGGACCCTAAATATGAAATTGACAGCCGAGTGCCTCTCATGATTTGTTAGGCCCGCCTTCACTTAGGGCGGGCACGTATGCAACAGGGGGCCCTTACGCCTGCCGAGGACTCAGATCCTCGCATTCCCTCCTCCTATACTTCGATAGTCCTCTGAGAAGTCTTCTATTCCGCAGGCATCTTCCCTTTGAGATCTCTTTCATAGCCTGCAATAACTTGAGGTGCAGTTCTCATGAGTTCTTCTCTAGTGAACCACCGATCTTCGCTGGGATCCAGATGATGTCTGAATCTGACATGGTATTGCATTTTCGGCTTAGGAGGGCGGCCTCTGCCCTGTGGTCGAGGAACAGGCATCACTCGATGTTCCACAATCTGGTCGATGTCCACTTCGCCATCCATGGTTGGGGGCAGCATGGACCGTCTGGAAGGGAATTGTGCAGACTCTGCGAAAGGTGCCAGCTTTGAGCTGTGCACAACGTTGTTGTATAGGCTGGCAATGAGTGGTAGCTTCTCGACCCAGTCATCCTGGCTTGGCTTAATGTAATGTCGAACCAAGTGCTGCACTACTCGGTTCATTTGCTCCGCCTGTCCATTTGACTCAGGGTGGTTCCCTGATGTCATCTATAGTCTGGTTCCCATCTGCTGGGCTGTGTTCTGCCACAGTTCGCTGGTGAAACGAACATCCCTATCACTGACTACAGACTTGGGTAAGTCGAAGTCCCGTACCCAATTATCCATAAATAGTCTCATGACGTAGTCAGTCTTAGCAGTTTCTGGCATGGCAATTAGTCTTGCATACTTGGAAAAATGGTCTACTATAACGAAGTTGTGCCTTTTTCCGGACCTGCTGGTCACAAGTTTATCCATTTAGTCCATGGACACACTCTGACCAGGACCTTCAGGAATCGGCAAGGGCTTGATGAGCCCGAGCGGAGCCTGAGTCCTAGGTTTGTTCCATTGGCAAACCTGGCAGGTTTCAACGTATCTCTTGGCATCTTGCATCATAGTTGGCCACCAGAATCTCTATACTAGGTTAGCTGATGTCTTCCTATAGCCAAAATGACCAGTTGCATCATGACACTCACCTAAAAATAAACTACGCAAAGACTCACTATTGGGAACACACAGTCTTTTATTCCCTGCCTTCTCAAGAAACAGCAAGCCGTCAACCATCGTAAATTCATCTGAAGTCACTTTGTCCTTCGCTTGAAATCTACGAATGATCTCAGACATGACTGGATCTTGCTGATAGGCTTCCACCAAGGATCGAGTTACATCGTCAGATATAAAAAACTCAGTCACTAGTGCGCCCAGATAGTCTGCCCGACGTGATAGTGCATCGGCCACTTTATTGTACTCTCCCTTGATTGGATCAAGTTGATAGTCATACATGTCTATCACTTGAATCCACCGCTTGAGTGCGTCAGAGAGTACAGGTTGTGTCTTGATCAAGTGCAAGGTCTCATGGTCAGACCTTACATAGAAAAATCTACCAAGGAGATAGTGTCTCCAATGGACTAGCGCTCTGTACAGGGCATAAAAAATCTACCAAGGAGATAGTGTCTCCAATGGACTAGCGCTCTGTACAGGGCATAGAGCTCACGCTCATAAGTGGACTTAGCTAGTTTTTGAGATGGCATCTTTTTACTCATGTACTCGATCGGTTTCAACTTCTTCCCCTCCTTTTGCACAAGGACCGCGCCTGTGCCATATTGGTCGGTGTTTGTGGTCACAACAAAAGGTTGTTCAGGATCCGGAAGTTTGAGGACTTCGTAGTGTGCCAGCGTATACTTCAATTTCTTGAAGGCCGCTTCACATTCTTCAGTCCACTCCCAAGGGGTGTCGAGTCGAGTTAGATTTGTTAATGGGAAAGCTATAGTACTATAGTTCTTAACAAACGGACGATAGTAGCCCGTCATCCCCAAAAACGATCTGACCTTAGTAACAGTCTAAGGTCTGGGCTAGTCCCGTATGCTGGTCACTTTGGCATCGTCCAAACTCAACCCTTCCGCGGAGATTTCATGACCCAAGTACAAGATCTTGGTGTGACCAAACTCGCATTTCTCCAAGTGGATCTTGTACTGGTGTTGTCTTAGGAGACCTAGCACTATTTTCAAGTGCTCAGTGTGCTCCTCTACAGTCCTACTAAAGATAAGAATATCCCGAGGTACACAACGATAAACTTGTGTAAGTACTCGTGAAAGATCCTATACATCGCGTGCTGGAATGTCCCAGGGGCATTGCATAGGCCAAAGGGCATCACCACAAACTCGTACGGACCGTACCTGGTCTAAAAAGCGGTTTTGTGCTGGTCCTCAGGTCTAATAGCAATTTGATGGTATCCGGACTTTAGATCTATCTAAGTGAAGTATCGGCATCTCTGCACTTTATCCAATAGGTCGTCGATACAGGGTAGGGGCTCTACGTTCTTTACTGTGATGGCATTGAGGCCTCTATAGTCAATGCACATCCTTAAGGTACCCCCCTTCTTAGGGACAAATAAGACTGGCGCACCATAAGGGGAGGTACTAGGCCGAATCCATCCCTTTTCTATGAGTTCCTTGAGCTGGCGGCGGAGCTCATCCAACTCCGCAGGAGACATCCTATAGATTCCTCCTCTAGGCACCTTGCTACCTGGAACAACCTCTATCGCATGGACCACCTCCCTTTCTACCACGCCTGTGGGCTCCTAAAAAAGGACGGAATATTGTGAGACGACTGATTCTATCTCTGGGGGTGTTTTAACGGCCTCCCCTTTCTCAAAGACAAAGACTAGATACATGCCCTCCTCGCGATTTTGGTTATAGTAGTTATAGAAAAGAGGAGGCAGAAATGCAACCGTAGTTTTCCACTAGACTGCTAGCTTTATACTTTTGCAGTCTAACGGTCCTACCGTTTGGCAACTTGTGTATCAACACCTTCCTATCCCAATCAAACTGAGGTTGAGCGACCTCGAGGTAGTAGATGCCTAGTAACATATCAAAGAGCAGTTCGTCACTAACGAGGAATGAGATTTTGTGTCTCACTTCCCCTCCTCCATAAGAGAAGGAACAGACTACATCCTTGACATAGTCTTTAACTAACATTTGGTGCTTGTTGGCTAGCGTAGAAGCTATAGTTCTGCTAAGCCGCTGCACTTGGTCCCCTAAGCTCAGTCTATCCATACAAGCACAACTGATGAAATTTCGTGTAGAGCCTATGTCTGCGAAGGCGCCCACTTTGCGGCCACCTACATCAACCTCTACCACAAAATGTTCACCCTTTGGACCTCTACTGATCATCGCCCAAGAGTCTCTGGGGTCCTTCCCTGACCACTCAATCTTTAACTCTTCCAGGGACTCAGACACATCTCTCGAACAGAGCGTGGATGGGGCTGAATGTGTCTGCGGGGCGATATTTGGGTCACTAGCCTTGGCCAACGCCTGAAGTGGGGAAGGCAACGTTACCACTTCAGCACGAGTAAGAGTGGCTAACACTCCTACTGACCCGAGGTGTTTCCCTGTGAAGTGCTCGCAGAAGCACTGCCAGGGTTCAAAGATAAGCCCACCACCGTTGGTGAGGCTACCTTCGTAGTGACCTTCTTACCTCGACACGTTCTAGACGTGTGGCCGTAGTTGCCGCAGTTCATGCACGTGCCCCTGGCAACTCGGTCCCTCCATACCTCGTAATCTAAACCAAGTTTTACCCATGCGGGTATTCCTTGGTCGCCCTGACCCGTAGACCGGACTACCTTCTTCTTCCCGGTCCCCCTAGCCTTTTCTTTGATAGGCTCTACAACTCCCCCATTCGAAGTCTCACTGACCCCATCATGCTCTATCTCATCCCCATAGTCTGGGAAGTCGTCAATTTCTGTCTCCTGACCATCATGGTCGACGAACGTTAGTTGACCCTTGTTCTTCCAGTCTTGGGGAAGTTTCTTCCTCCTACCATCTCCTTGATTCTGATGCGCTGACCCAAGCTTTGCTTCTATATCTAAGGACTTCTTGCCGAAAGAAGTGAAATTGTGTTGGTCGACGTAGGCCTCATCCACCAGCTTAGTCCTAACCTCTGAAGGTAGATATCTCAAGTAATTCGTGAGGAGTACCTGCTGGTCGTAGCGCACACGAGGTACCACGAGCAGACGTTCTACGATATCTGTGATCTCGCGAACATTCTTGTACCTTTTGTCACAAAGACTGTTGATCGGGTCGGTGGCCTTCAGAGCCCCTTGAGGGTCATGCCACCTATTATACACAGACCGTACGTAGTCTTCTAATGTTTGGGTCTGGGCCCAGGCATCAAAGTTCTGATCGTAGCCATGTTGTTGCACTAAGCCATTCAACCAACGCGTTGCCGATCCTTCTAAAAAGGAGGCAGCAACTATGACTTTCTGCTTTGGCCTTGTGAGCTTGTGCCTCACATAAGTAGGTACAGTCCTTACCCAGGTATTCAGGTCCTCGTCCTTCTTCCTGTCGCTAGAGAAGGGCTTAGGACTCAGCAAGGGTATCTTGGGCATCCACTGCATAGGTTGGATCTGCCCAGGCGATTGTCTGCATAGCCACTGACACAGGTTGCTGCACGCTAGCCTGCAGTTGTCCAGACACTGACACTGTAGCTGCCACCGTCCTACATGGTACGGTAGAAGAGACAAGAACCGGACCACTAACTATTGGTTGACTACTTGAAAGAGGGATGTCATACATGGGTGAGAAAGAGGGCCCTACCGGCGACGGCGTCACCGAGGGACCCGCAACCGATGGGGGAGCAACAACATACTGAGGCTGTCTCATCATAGGATGAGGAGCCTGCAGTGCAGCCATAATTTGTCTCTGGCCTGCCACTAGTTCAGCCAGCATTTCCTGTTGGACAACCTGCGTTTCAGCCACGCAAAGCAGCGAGTTACGCAGTGCTTGCATAGCAGGATCAAGTGTGGACTCATCGAATGCTTCTAACTTGCTTAACTCTTGTCTCCTCCTCCCTAGTCTGGCTTTTCTAAGTATAGCTCTTTGCCTTCTCTCCGTTGCCTCTCTCAGTTGCTTCTGCAACTCATTATGAAGTTCTTTTGCCTGGAGGATCTCATAATCTTCTGTTGAGAGTTGAGGTTGCTGGCTGACTTGCAAGCCAACAGATTGACTAACCATACCTTGGGTACCCTGACTCGTTCCTGATGAAGAGGCCTGGGACACGGCCTGTGACACTGTGGAAGAAGTAGCCATAGCTGTGCGTGTGCTGACCTCGGTCCTAGCCTCAGCACTAGCTGCAGCTGCTCTTGCTCTCTGCAATATCTCCCTTGCCCTGGCTTCCCTTCACAGTCTCCTTTCGTCTCCCGGACCTAACTCCTGGAAGGTGAGTGGACGACTGAGAGCGATTCCACGAGTAACCCTAAGGTCTTCCACTAGTTCTTCCTCCTCCTCACTATTGACATGAGGCCCAGATTCCACTCCTCCTTCCTGTCGCCAGAGAAGGGCTCGCGACACCTCACATTGAGATGACTCTCAAGACAAAACTCACTTCCTCACAGTAAGAAGTAATGGAGAGGGGAGATAAAGAAGAGAGCAACATACCTCATAATGCTGCCCCCAACCACAGATTTCTCACCGACAACCTGATGTGCATTCATGATGACCGGTCTTTGCCTCGGCAGCGAGCTCTCATCATCCAGCTTACATCCCAAATGTCACCACATAGCTTCCTGGCGCGCCCACACGACCCTGGGCCGCCTTACGTCCAACGTCCAAACCTTATCACTGCCCCACACCTCATGCAAAGCACAGAACAGCTATCACGAAGAACCAACGAAGCGCAGTTTGAACCAACTCTGATACCAAATTGCAAGGAAAATGAGCAGTAGCGAGATGACAATAACCAGATTGCACAATCACATTGAAGGCCAGATAATATCGCAGTGTCCCGAAATCAGAAATGCACCAATATAACACCAATGAAGATTCGTAACACTGAAAACCAATGTTAATGAGAGCTTGCTCTCGCCACCACCAACACGAGTGTCCAGTCCCTATCTCCCTACTTGGCGCTCAACGCCCAGCCTACTTCCTACACAGCTACTCTCTGCCTACTAATTGACAATGCAACTGTTGACGTCAGCAGCCTACGGAGTACTTGAAGATGTCGCCCATGCAGACCATCGCCAATACTAGGTACGTGCCCTCACATCATCATCATCATCATCCTTCTCTCTCTCTCCCCTGTCTTACTCCCACGTCTTCCCTCTGTACACCCGAAGACCACCCTGCGCCTCACTGTAGTCCAAGCCCAACCAGCTATGGAAGTTGGGCTATGGTGCTGCCCTCAGCAGCGCCCTGCTCTCTGCACGACCGCACGCGCTATCACCTCGCCTCTCAGCGCCAACAGCAGCCCACGAGCGTCCGCTCCAGCAGCGCTGTCGCTAGCATCCGAGTGCCTAAATGAGAACCCAGGCAGCGAGCTCTTCCCTATATGGAAAGAGCCTGCCTGCTACGGCGGCCTGGCTGGTCTGGGCCTCTCTCCAAAGCTTCTGGTAGGCCCCAGGAGGTTGCGCCTCTGTCGCAGCTACTGGGCCTCGTTCGGTTGGGCCTCTCCAACTGTCTGTGTATGAGGCTGCGATTCCTGGCCAGGGCCTGCATTGCCCGTACAGGCCAGGAGGGCCGTGGAATTCCCTTGCTGCTCGGCCTGTGTTTTCCCCAACCAACTGACACGTCACAACTGTTTGGACCCCAAATATGAAATTGACAACCGAGGGCCTCTCGTGATTTGTTAGGGCCACCTTCACTTATGCAACAGGGGACCCTTAGGCCTGCCGAGGACTCAGATCCGCGCACCACGCCCTAATGACGACAAAATGGAAGTCCTTGTCACTTCCACATTCCTGTTGTGTAGGGTTCGTCCTTAAAAGTTAAGTGCCACCCAGTCATTTCTTCCAACATCTCAAGGGTACCTCTGGAGGTCACTTGAAACTCAAGGGCGCGATCCTACAAAATGTGTAATACATTAAAAAAAATTGTTTTATTGTTTTTTCACCAAAAGACGAGTAGTTCTGACATCAACACGTCATCCCTGGAGTTTCAAGGGCAGTGATTGCTAGGTTTTCGTGTAGGGGTTGTGGAACGAAAAATGAACTTAGGCCCTAGGCAAGGGCGCCCTTACAATGTAAGGATACTTTAGTGGTGTGGAACGAGGCGTTGAAGGCATGCAAATGGACGCAGACAAATGAGAGCCACTATTCAGAAACAAGCAGACCTTGAGCCCAGAATGAAGGCTAAATTCAGGCACAACTAGCAAGTCAATCGCAAGCTCGCCGCAATCAATTGGGCACATTAACGACGGATTTGGCTGGCACAACTCTAACATGGCAACCAGATTGCAAGAAGCTCAGCCTCTATTCTCCCTTCCCGTTTTCAAGTTCATCCCTAATTTCGTAGGTTACCTGGCACATCCAGTTGGGCAGCCCAGGGGGTCTCCCGCTAGGGTGCCCAACTGCAGGCTCATTTCAATTTCCAGTGTTATTTGCTGGGGGGTGAAGGAGGGTGAAGAGGGTCGTAAATTGGGGGTTGTAAGGGGTTTAAAGGAGTGTAAAGCGGTGTGCCTTAGTTAGAGTTTTTATTTTATTTTTCATCGATTCAACAAGAAATTATGAGGTGACCCTCAACCAAAAGTTGTTTGCATTGCAGTTCCTCGCTCCACTTCTCTCGAAATGTGCAAAACAACAGTGAATCTTCCCCTAGAACATGGAAAGATACACCACCATGATTTTTGTCTTTTGTGCATGTCCAGCGTCGTGGAGCAACAACCATAGTTTTCACCATAAGGTTTTGTTTTGGTTTTGCGTTGGGGCTGCCTGGGACCTGGCCGGGACCATGTCCGACCAGGCAGTCCCGCCAGCCAGAGGGAGCCCCAGCGCTGGGAAGAGTACCCTGCTTTTTCCCATTCTTTTGTCTCTTTGTCAATCCCCAAGTCTTCCACCTTGAAATTGGGTCTCGTTCCACTACTCTGGACATGCCCAAAAGACAAAAATCATCGCGATGTATCTTTCCTTTTTTCTTTTTTGTATTGAATTTCAGCCCTTAACAACAGATAGGAGTGATGGATCACGGCCGACATGAAAGTCAATTAGGGCTCCAAAACCGAAGGGTGGTGGCTTCACACAGCAGGTCAACCCCCACCGGAGGAGCCAACAGTTAATTGGCGGCAGAAGGAAGAGGCCATACGAATCCTGGGGGTCCTGGTCACACTGAGGTAGGATAGTAGGGACAGGGGTTGCACTAGGAGTATTAACGTGAGGATGGGTAGGGTAGGTGGCCTATCCTGTCATAACAACCATTAGCTGTCGCTGCCAGCAGTCACCGCGGGTCTGGTCCTTGGCCTCTACAACACCCTGCGCTTTCTTAAAACAAAAAAACAAAAAAAAAAGGCTCACAGCGTTCGGGCCCCCAAAAGACCACGGGGACCAGCTGGTCCACACAGCCCTACAAGGGATGGCCAAATGGAAAGGCCTTCATAGCTCGCTAGTAGGCAGGGCCCTAGCAATCAACAGATTCTTTCGACTATCCGGCACAAAACAGCCTTCTGGTCCATCGGTCTCAAACAATACCATCGTCTTAAAGAAGCCATAGCCGCATACCTATGGAGAAATGACCAAGAGCTACAGTCATGCATAAAACGGGTGGCTTAGTCCCAGATAGCCCAACCTAGAAGCAAGGGTGGGCTCGCCATCATGGAACCTCTATACCAAATCAAGGCCCTTATCTTCAAGGCGATAGTTAGGCTACTCATGGGGGACGACCTTCCTTGGGGGTCATTTGCCCATATACAACTCGCCTCGATGGCACGAGGTTTCAAGACAGCCGTGGTTTGGGAAGCCACACATACTGGACCCTCAAGGACGACCATTCTCGCTCAAACAAGAGGCGCATTGGTTGTCATGAGTCAAAAAGGGAATCTCTACTCTAGGGGACTTGTGGGACAATCAGGCCAGGCGATGGAAAACGGCGGTGAATCTGTGAGGCCAACTCGAACATATCTGAAACCTTGTCAACAAACTGCAACAGCTCCAAGATGTGGCCCCCATTGCCTGGGTACAAGCCCTCCGAGAAGGCCCGCATATCCGCAAAGGGGACTGGGTAACCACGGAAGCCTCTCTCCCTCTCCCCATGACTGTCTTCAAAGTTCCAGACTGCTATGCCTCACAGGTTGACCTGGAAGCCTATGAGCCAGCGCTCCCAGGCACCAGACTGTCACACCTAACTCAGAACCCCGACCTGGATGTCACACAATAGTTGTCGGTCCTCATGCAAGTACGAGTGCTAGGAGACGACTCAGACAGATGGTGGGCTTCTGAACCAACGATCCCAATCTACTTGCTACCATTCGACCCGGCACAACAGCAATGGGAAAGCTGCCACCTGCTCCCGTTCTGGAAATTTATAGTTAAGGAATGCTATAAAAGAATCCACAAAACAAACGACACCACTTACACTGCCAAGAACAGGTGGTCCCACGACTCACACATTGAGGCGGCAGACCTGCAACATTTCAAATGGTCACAATACACCCACCTATCACCAGTATCTCAGAGGGCACTCCAATGGCA